CTTCATCAATACATTTGCATGATCCATATTAATCATGCAATTAATCATAACCGAATCCTCTGATCAATTTACACTCCATGTCCGATTCGTGACAAAAGGCTGCTCCGATACTTTCGTATCGGGCAGCTATACCAAATAGTTTGCATGAATGATTTAAATTTTGTACAAATTACAGGAAACACTTTTTTATATATAATTCGCGTCATATAATTCGCATTATATAATTCGCGTTATATGATTCGCGTTATATAATTCGCGTTATATAATTCGCATTATATAATTCACGTCATATAAATCACGTCACATTTACGTCATAAGATATAATTCACGTCGTATAATCACGTCATACTGTATAATTCACGTCATATAATTCACGTCATATAATTCACGTCATATAATTCAAGTCCTATAATTCGCGTCATATAATTCACGTCATATAATTTACGTCATATAATTCACGTTGTATAATTCACGTCATATAATTTACGTCTATAATCCGCATCATATAATTCGCGTCATATAATTCGCGTCATATAATTCGCAATATATAATTCGCGTTATAATAAAATATAATCATAGGTAATACCAAAAGTAAAACATAATAGATTTTTAATACGTAATTGTAATCCAAAAAGTAAAACGGAATATACTTTTTTAAAACAGTAATTGTAATTCCCAAAAGTAAGATGTAAAAAAAGTAATAAGTAATATACTTTTTTAATAATTGTTTTCAAAATATACATACATTTAACACAATTCAAACATACAAAAGAGAAACCCACAAAAAAAGAACAAAAAGATAAATTAAATTATTCATATCTTTGAAACAAAGTAATAACATCTTCTTTAAGACCTCTAACAACTCTTTTTCTGACCTCATCTTCTCTTTGACGAACAACATTTTCCAACATATCGATCTTACGTTGATTATCTTCCAACATTCCAACAGCTTTAACCAATTTTTCTTGAAGTAAAATGATGGTTTCTTTAGGATCACTTGTAGTTGGAGGTAAAAGAAGTTCCGAATAAGGAAAAGGAATATTTGAATTATCTTGACCACCAAGAATATTTTGAGAAGACCAAGACCAATTAGAATTTGTTGGAGATTGAGGTCTTTCTTGTTTTTGTTGGGCACGTTTTTTTGAAAGACGAAAACTATCAAAACCCATTGCAGAAGCGTCAAGACTTTGTTTTCGTCTTGAAGTAGAATTACCTTTATGAGTTGGAGAAGTTGAAGAAGTAGCGGGTAGGATTGATTGAGAAGGAGAAATTTCACCAGATTGAGAAGATATAGGACCACCACCAACAGAAATACTTCGCCACCGTAATTGAGTAGCAGGATTAGCAGAAGTACCCGAATTAGATATTACACGAAAATTGCTTGTATCACCACCAGAAGAATTAGGAAGATGCCTTATATCAGTTGGCGAATGATTTGGAGTTGGAATATGACGAGAAGTCAAACCATTTTTCGGCCTGCCAAGTTTTGGGCGATTTTCACGAGAGGTAAACTGTGATAATATGATAATAAGTGAAAATAATAATAATGATAATAATAATAATGATAATAATAATTTGAGTATAACTTGAGTATAATAGAAAATAATAGAGTATTGTAAGGATCTACTAGGGATCTACAGGCTACCTGTACAACACTTTTCCTGCGGGATGATAGTTGCAAAGAAATTATCGCATGTTTGTACATATTACGCTCGGAATCAATATTATCATTTACATGATTATCTCCAACATCGATACTACTGCCAGTGTTACGACGAGTATATTTTCTTTTTTGTCGTTTACTACTTGCTCTTTTTATTAATTTTAATACCAAATCACTATCGTCATCATCAGTTCCGTCAGTAGGGTCGGTACCGGTAGGATTTTTTTGAGGATCTTCATAATATTCATTTGGTTTCGATAAAATATAATCGAAAAAGGCATCAATATGAAT